CAATTATTAAACCAAGAAGCCGATTTGTTCTGACATCAGACTGTAAAAATAGTAACTTTAGCACCAAAGCTTTGACTCATCACATAACCCTTTCCCCAAGACAAGATAGGTGGGCGTGTCCATGGAAAGGCGCAGAGACAGACTGCAATGAATTAAATTATGGATCTTGTCAGGAGGATGATTGGTGGTAATTGACGTCCACTGGAAGGTGTTCTGAAGCGAAATGGGCTTCCCTGCCTGAAGATGGGCCACATGACACCGAATTACCATAACTCTCCCTCATTTGGCGGTGGAGAGACTTTTTGAAAAGCGTTTTGCTCTTCTCCAGAAGTGGGATTGATTTGACTCACAAAAAAGGAACTTCTCCTCTCTTCACGCTTGGCGAAAGAATACGATGAAATTTCAAAAGCTTTCATTTAATTAAGTTAAGTTTTATGGGGGTTGTGGTTAATGGAAATGAAATGCGAGTGAAAATGGAGTCTTGGAAATTTGGTTAAATTAGAGAAAATCTCGTCAAAAAGGGAAGACTAATACAGTAGGTTTTCAGATATGAAATATTTTTGATTTAATCCTTTGATTCTTGGTGAGCTAACTCTATTAGGTAGAATGAATGATAAATGATTTTCCTAAATTTCACATTAGAATTCATGAAGGACTAAATATAGAGTTTAATGGCACAAAATCTCGGTACTGCAATAATGCTCCAAATCTAATTTCACTCGAGAAAGAAAATTATATATTAAATTAATATTTCGTGATTTTTTTCAGAATACATTTTTTTTCTCCAATTAATAACAGAAAAATTAACAAAATATAATGATTCTGAAGGATAATACGCTATTATTAACTAACTCTAAGGTAACAGCATTTATAGCAATTGCAATATTTAATTAAAGACAAAAGTGTTTACAATACCAAATTAATTAATTAATTATATCTATGGAAACGGTACTCACTATTTTAATAATGAATGTTTAAAAACGGTTTTAACAACTCTAGTATTAAATTCATGGCAACGGTAATTATGCTACCAAATTATTAATTCCATGGAAATAGTATTTTTCTGGTATCATTACATTTATATAACCTAATGAAATAAGATTTTGTTCCAAATAAACAATAATAATACACTGATAAATGTAAATTTTATGGAAATAAATTTTCCCCATTCAAAATAATAATAGTTAAATATTTTGATTGGATTAACTTTACCTAACAGTCATGCGTAACTGTTGAAAACTTACAGCAGTTATGAAAATAGCATATTATTCCAAAAAAAAAAAAAAAAANAAAAAAAAAAAAAAAACATCATTTCATGTAACGGAGGAGATTTCAAGAAACGGAAACATTTAACAGCAAACATTGATTTAAACAAAATAATGAATTCAGTTTTTTGTTTTTTTAATTCAAATTCTATCCAATAGAAACAAAGATAAAAAGTTATTTCCAAGAAGAAACTCTTCCCTTGAGTTAGATCTTCGAATTACAGGACGCCTTTCCTGCCAGATTTATTGGTGACCTTTCAACTTCGGAACTGCAGCGCCATCTATAAGCCGTTATCTTCAAAAGAGGTAAAAGCCATCGGACACTCAAAGCGGTCAGCTCTCGTTAGCAGTTTTTCCGGGAATCATAAATATGTCATTCTAATACCCGGGTTTCGGGTATCCCAAGGCTTCTTCTATTGGAAGATACACTCAACTGCACTCTTCCCTTTGGAACGAGGAAAGTGAATTATCAGGATAATAAATGTCACAAGATCTTTCCAAACGAGAGTTTGAGTAGGGGCAGAAAGAAGGTTTTTGCTCTCCTTTGAAGAGGGCTTTTATTTCTACGTGAAAGCTTTCCTGGAACAAATTTGTTCGAATCAACTACCTCTGGGTGCACGCAAACGATATTGAAGAGTCCAAGAAGAAAAATACTTTCCAGAAAACTGTTCTAAAAGTTCATTTTCGTAATCTGTGATCTTATATACTTCAATAACGTATTAATTAAATGTAATTATTTATATATACTATAGGTAGTTATTTATATGTATTACACGTATGTAATTTTTTTTTTACTCTTTATTATTAGAAAATTACTTTTAGATAGTTTTCTTAATTTACAGACTGTTTTGATTGTGATTGAAGTTCTTATTAGGTCTGCCTTCAGACCTATATAATAAAAAGCGAATTGGAAAATGGTATGAAATTTCATCTGCTGTGTTGATATAAGATGTTCAGAAAGAATAGCGGAAAAAGAAGCACTGGAAAAAAAAGGTACCTGGAAAAAAATGCACCAAAAAAAAGTCCGTGTAATAAAAGAAAAAAAGAAAAGAAACAGAGTTAGTATTAAGTTTTGAGATGAATAATTTAAAAAAAAATTGCGACTGCTTAATGATACGAATTTAACGGTCATAACATGACCTTACGATCAATATACGTGCATTTCTAAATTTTTTGATCTGAAGTGCGTAAAATAATTAGAAGAAAAGGGCAAGTGTGAACATGATCATTTAAACTATTGTTGCTTTTAAAAAGAGCAGGCAAATCAAAAAAGGAATGATTTTTACCGAAAAATACAGTCTGAAGTAAATAATCTTGACATTTTTTATTTTCATGAAATCTTAAGGTCTAACAAGTATTAATTTAAAATAAAACAAGTTAACTAAATTTCAACTAAGTAAAAATAAAAAAAAAAAGGCATTTTAGTAACAAGTGTATTTTAAATATTTTTTAGAGAAAAAATATTTTTTTATTATTTAACTAGAACTTAATTTTTATTTAGAACTATACTATGCGAATAAATTATAAATATCAGCTGAAAAACAATAATAGCATTTCGAAAATGTCTATTTCATTAATACGTACAATAAAAGAAATAAAATTCCACAGGTAATTATTATTATTAAAACTTGTTAAAACATTAGTTTCTTATAAATTGGCTGTTGTAGAAGCATTAATTGAAATTATGTAAGAAAGTATGGAAAAAGATTACGAATAAAATCTAGACTTTATTAGATCCTTAAAAGTGAGTTTTATGATTTTTTTCCGGGTACTTTTTATTAGTCGCGCTTTTTTCCAGCCTACAGTTTGGAAATCTGCTAAATTAATTACGTATTCATAATTTAATGCTTCCTGTTATATAACGAGAAATTGTGACTATTTAAGCTGTTCCGATAAATAAAGAAAACATAATATTGTTTTAACTTTTGAAGTTTAAACACACTTTTCCATTAAAAACAGCTTTACTTTATGACCTGGCAAAAAATACAATGCTCGATGCACTAAATCTGATTATGACAAGTTTTTAAACACAAAATTTTGCTTTATTATTCAGAATGTCACTTCTTAGCACTTTCTTCCACTAAGATTTTCAAGTTGTGCGTCTGAAAACATATTAAAGTACTAATTACACAATCCTGTGTGTTGTAGTTTGTTTGTTTCGTTATGTCATTATCTATATATATATTTCTCTTACACGGCGACAAAAAAAAAGCCTCATTACAACTCCCCGAATGGCAACGCTAGAAAATCGACCAACGATTGCAGCTAAAAATGTCACATACCAAATCTAGCTCAGATGGCTCAACATATAGCGCTTTTAAAAACGGGAACTGAAATAACCAGAGAGAGCATAAGCTAGGCAGAAGTGAATAGTCTTTGTCGATAGATCTCTATTTTAGTATTTTGTCGAAAACACTTTTTTTTTCACAAATTTATATATTACGAATTTATTTGACGATTTTTGATTCACATCACGAATTTATTTGTTTTATTATTGTTATTAGTTATTCATTGAAAAATGAGTCTCAGTCGTGTTGTTACGCTTTAAGATTTTATACTATAGCACATTTCTAATAGGTTTAACGAATTACATGTCATTTATTTGAATTCAAATTTATTTTAATGACTTAGTATTTACTAAAAAGATGTAATTTTTTTTTTAAAAAAAAGTTGTTATATGGATTTGAATGATTGTTTTGAATTCTTAGAATTTTGTGCATTTGCAATGTACCTAAGTTAGTAGCGAGCAAAGCAAGCTTGGTTTGCGAAGCAAACCATATAAGATTGCGTAGCAATTTTCGGGGGTTGGCGAGCGTTAGCAAGCAGGGGGCGCAGCCCACTAGTACTAGATGTTATTACAATGTTAGAAATTTTCATGGTAAACTGAAAACAGAGCACCGAATTAAAGCACCGATAAGAGCAACCCGAAAAAAAAAAGCACGTTAATAATTAGATAAGTTATACAACCAGGCAGTTAACTATTCAAGTAGTTGAGCCAAAATTTAATGTAATTAATTATTTATTCGAATGAAATTAGATATTTTGTTAAAATTAATATATAAGGATTACTTTAATTGACAAAATAATTAAGACTCCTAAAAAGTTCGGAAATTGCTTTAAATTTCACATATTATATTGGGATAAAATTAGCTACAAATACTTCTTCAATTAGTGATTTCTTTTTCAAAAAAAAAAAATTGAATAGTATTAAATTGAAATAATTCATCATTTTTATTATTATTTTTCAACTTGTCAGAAAATTAACCCCATACGAGACTATTAATTGATTCATTATTTATAACAATACTATTATGCGTAATTGCATGTACAATTAAAAATAAGTATTAAAAAAAATTTCGGTCAATTTTAAATTATATTTGCATCTTAATAATTTTCTCTAATAGAGTGTAATTGCGATCAAATACATGTTTAATTTCATTCAAATCTAGTTCAACAGCTTCGGATGTTACATTTATTTGTTTGTTAAAGAAAAGGACTTCTCTTTCTGATATTTTTATCTCCGTAATTCAAATTTCACTGGCTGAGGCTATATTGTAACAGACTAAAAGAAAATGTATATTTAATTTATGCTAGTTAATCGGCTGGATTTTTTAGGTATTCGCAATATGCTTAACTATAAAATAGGAACATTAAAATGGAGGACAGATTAGCTTTCCCTTTAACAGTTTAGCTATATTTTCAAAGACTAAATTACTATTAAAAAATATAATTTACCGTAAGATGCTGAAATAGCCATGCCCTCATTATGTTTGTTGCTACTTTAGGAAAAATACCCCTCTTCTTCTGCCTTTTCTTACCACCCCTTTCATCATCATCCTCATCACCTGAGCCTTCTCCTGAACAAATACTCGCATCACCTGTAAAAAAATAATAATCATTATTTTACTGTGTCTTCTTAAATAACGAATTTTATGAAACATCATTATGGTTTGCTGATATTTCTATTGAAATCGGACCACGTATTGTTGATTACCGAAAAAGTTCAGAAGAAAACATTTTTCGAATTAAAGTTTATGTATAGTGCACTAAAAAAAAATAATTATAATAAAAATAAATAGATAAAAACGAACCACGCTGAATAACTTTTGATTTAATGAGTATTTTGGGAGTCAGAAATCCGAATTCATTGGTTAAAAAAAAAAGCATGTTAATTCAGAGAAAGTATGCTGCATCTGATTTCTTAACTTAAAATATCGTCTGCACTGCTTAATTAGCATCTTTGAGGTCGTCTTCTTGAACGATTAAGAATGAGTCCAAGAACGTAAAGATCCGATCATTAATCCAAAAATTATTCAGGGGCCATTTTTTTTTTTTTGTCGCATTGCAAATGGGTTTGAGTATACTACACGGCACCAAGTACAAACGACAGGTGAAATTGTCCAGAAGAAACAGTACGTGTATTTTTTTTCTTTTTTTCTATTAAGAGACAAAAACGAGCATGCAATTTTTCGAAACAGAGAAGAAAAAAGTTAGAACATGTTTCTTCAGGTGTGTTTTCTAACCTTCATTACCAGTGAAACAAGACACACCATTTGCAGAAGTGGGGTACAAGGCCCTTAGATGCAACAATCGTCATGGAACAAACGCATTGGCCATACATGTGCTCTTTTTTCCACTCTAGGAAGTAGGAAGGAAGGAAATGCACTTTCTGTTTGTGAATTTACTCAATTCCACTCCTATTTTCAATTTCTATCCTATGAAGTGAACTTTTCAATTTCTATCCTATGAAGTGAAACCAGTAGTTGGTTCAAACGATTTGTCAAAGGTCCCATTTTGTGAAAAATCTAATCATAATTTCATAAATAAATGAAAATAAAATTTTGTTTTTTGGTATAAGAAATACAAAAACGTATCTTTCAATGAGTTTTTGTTTAAAAACTACGAATTAGTGCCGCTATTTTTGAAGGTACCGTTTTCGTGATAAAAAAGTTTGTAAAGAGTGTCCGTTTTAATGCTAAACTATTTTGTGAAAAGATCTTTTCAAAGATAAAAATTTTTGTGAAGGGTCCATTAACACACCCAAAATTTTATAAAGTGAGTAATGAGAATACAATAAAAATACGATTTTTTTATTGGAATAAAAGTACAGGATTAAAAAAAAGAAATTCAAAATTGTATGTTCTGCAGTAAAAAGGAAGGAATGAAGTTAGAATTTGGTAAAACTCTATAAAAATAATCTTTTACTACTCAGTTATTTTTAATTAAAACTTTAATTGCTAGGATTATTAAGGTAGTAACAGTTAAATAACAATACCAAGCCAAAACACAAGTAGCAATCGAAAATCACTAAATAGTTCTACCAGAGGTCAGAGAAGAGGTCAATTTTTATGGTTCGTCTTCACCTGTGAGAAGACCACCCAGATGTCAGTGATTTCTTCCCTCTTATCCCTGCAGGTATCCTTAATTTGAAGAGCTTCAGTTGAAGAGCTCACTAGGGTGATTGGAATTTTAGACACATTTTCCCACGCCTTCTACTTGAGGAGTTAAAAATATGTTTTCGAATAGTTCTAAACATCTTACATGTCAGTATGATAATCCTTCGTCATTTGTCAGTTTTCGCAGCACTATTTAAGGCTAAACGATGCAACGGTTGCGTAACTTTTCTTTAGGAAACTGTGTCTTCGCAACAAGTGTTCGATCTTCAATTGCCAATTTTTGAATAACTATTTGAGGCCAAACAATGCAATAGTAGAATGACTTTTCACGTTTTTTAATTAATTACAAGCGCCTTTATTCTCTACAAAACAATGAGTTTTCTAATATTGGTATTTTGCAACAATGTGCAATCGTCTATATTGCCTAACTATTTAGAGCTATATAATTCAATGGTGGGATGACTTTTCTTTAAAAAACTATGTCTTTCCTTAATATTAATATTTTGCAACAAGTGTTCAATCCTCAATTTGTAATTTTGTGGTCCAAACAACGCAGAGGTGGATTGACTTTTCATATATTTTGTTAAACTGATTATAAACGCTTTTTATTCTCTACAATTTGCGTAACTATTTGAGGCCAAACAATGCAATCGTGAAATTACTTTTCAAATTTTTTAAATTTAATATAAATGCTTTTTATTCTCTAAACGATGATTTTCCTAGCAGTGAAATTTTGTAGCAAATGTTAAATTTTCAATTTTTAAATACTATTTGAGGCTAAACCATGTAATAGCGGAATGACTTTTCAAATGTCTTAAAAAAGTTTTTGATGACAAATGATTTTTATTCTCTAAAAAACGATGGTTTTTCTCAATATTGATATTTTAAGTCTAGTGCAGCCTCGTAAATTTTTAAATTTTGTCTAATAATTTGAAACCAAAAACTGCAATGGTAAAGTAGCTTGTCTATTCTTTTTGTTACCTTTTTTAAAAATAAATTAGATTGCAAGTACATGCTCTACAGTGGTTCAAAGAAAAAAATAATTAAGACAATATTTTCCAAAAAAAGGGGGCATTTGTCCATTCAGTAGTGCACATTTAGAAAAAAAAGTTGCATTAATCATCAACATCCAAGCCCTCCAAGCCCTGGTTATGAATAACTATGACGTTAAGCAGACGTGTGTGAATGGCCGAAATTAACCATGGACAATCTCCCCTTTATAAAAATAAATTCAATTATCTTCAGCTTGGTTAAGAAACTATGACGTGAAGCAGACGTGTGTGGATGGTCGAAATAAACTTCCCAATTAGATTCCTCAGCAAAGAGTTTTTACCGGAGAATAATAATAATAATATAAAAAAATCTTCATCCATATTTTAAATTAATTTTTTATATCGATGCAGACGGAAATTATTCTACAGTTGTTTTCATTTTTCTATGTAATATTTCTTGCTAGCATTTATATTGTTTGATCGAAAACTTCATTAAAATTATTTGAAAATCATATTATTTTTTCATAAAATATTTTCTAAAATATTTTCTAAAATTTTTCTATAATTTACCTTTTCAAAAACTCTATTATAAATTAATGCATTCTCCCAAGACCCTATTATGGGCCAGGGGAGCCATGGAGTAAGACAATACAATTAATAATTTTTTAAAAAATAAATTCTTTTTTAAAAGGACTGAAAAAAATAATCTGTATTTTTATTTTGATATGAAAAAATGTTTCTGCTAAGGTTATAAATAATACTGGTGAGCCACAGAGTTCAAATTTCAGGTTGCTAAAATGCTTTACTATTATTATTATTAATGACTTACTACAATGATGAATTATATTTTACTACAAACGGCTTTTCATATCAAAAAATGCCCTGCAATTTATAATATCCTGCATTTTTGCTTTTGCACTTAAATCCCAACATTTTATTTATTTATATAAATCGATTTATTATCTGTACTTACATTTCCTGTCTATAAATTAGATTTTCATCTGTATAATGGACTTTCTATCTATATTATCCATATAAATATTTTTCCCCAGTATGTTTTTTTACAATAAATAAAATTGGTGTACGATTCTTGTTCTTTGAGGAGATTGGGTAAGTAACTTAGAAAAATTAAATCGATAAAAAGAAAAAAAATCGAAATTACAGTCTTTCATTTAAAAAAGCAATAAAAATAATTTGAACTATAGACCCAGGAAGTGTACTATAGTACTTTAATGCATAGGAAACAGATGAACAGAAAAATCTGATCTTAAAACGAAAAGGGAAATGAAAAATCCCAATCTATCATGAATAAGACATATTTCTCGAAACATGACCATTTAAATTAATTTATGCCGATGGTTCAGTAAAGAAGTAAGAGCTACGTTCGGATACGATACAGTTTATTCCGATTTTGCGTGTGAGTGCCATCGGCTTAATGAATAATTCAATAATTCTCTTTATTCAAACTTCTTATTTCGTTTCCGTGAAGTTCTGACAATAATTATCGATAATGCATCATACTTACGACGGTATAGAAACGAAAATTCGGAGGGGCAATCAAAAGTACCTTCTAGAATCTTTAATTTATGAATGCAATTTTTTCGTGCTTAATGTCTATGACAAATAATTGTATCGTCAAAAATATGAGACAGTGTGTAATGAATTGCTTATCGATGATATTGCGATTCATAATAATAAGTTTGTAGTTGTGCAATTCGTATGAGTCGTAGGCTAATTGGAGGTTCTAGCTCTTAGCGAACCACCGCCATCAACTTGCAAAGCGTCAGGCTAATTGGAATTTTTTTTAGTAAATTCTACTATTTTCAGCACTTTTTTTTAGAGAAATAACATTAATTGCTCAATTAGCCTGATTTATTTTAGGCAGCTTGCAATGAGCTCAGGTACTTTTAGGCTTATTAGAAATTTTATCATTTATTGCTAAATTAGTCTGATTCATTGGGCCAGCTTAAATATTACGTACGCACATAATAGGGGGTGGTGGGTTTGTGCTTATTTTGCTTAAAACTAAAAATTTTCCATACTTGCAATTTTTTTTAAAAATGCGACAAAGGAATTCAATTGGAAAAATTTTTGCATTTGGAATTAAATTCGGAGAAAGAATAAGAGGGAATAAATTTCTTCGGCCAGTTTCAGAGGCCAAGAGTTTTGACCACTGAAGGGAAATAAAAGATTTCCAAATAATATTCTACTCAAAATTTCATGAAATGATGTGAAACGAGAACTTGATTGTGCAAAGTTACATCTTTTATTTGAATTTAATCTATTACCAAATTACTGCAATCCAAAATTGTCGAAAAAAAGTGATCGGAAAAATTTTATAAAATTATGTAAAACGAAAATTTGCTTTGTGCAAAGTTACATCTTTTATTTGAATTTAATCTATTACCAAATTACTACAATCCAAAATTGCCGAAAAAAAGTGGGCGGAAAATTTTTTATAAAATTATGTAAAACGAAAACTTGTTTTGT